GTCTTCACTTCAACCCATGTGGTAATGGTTGTATTTTAAGAAAATTGATGGAGGCTTCAATTCTTTTTAATTACTATATTGAAGTCCTTAGCAAAGGGACCAGAGGATTGCTGTCATTCACCTCCCTTTTTTTTTTCCCTCCAAAATACACATCTGAAGCTATTGAATAATATTATTTTGGGATAGCTTCCTAGTTGCTGCTTGTGATGATCTGTTGAATGTGGTGATGGTACTTGCTAGTGAAAGGCATGATAGAAAGTGATCTTGATATACATGAGATATTGGCTCATTTAGTAAAACATCAAGAGCTGAGATAGTAGCACTACTTCTTGTTATTCCTGTGTATGCTCCGCTTCAGAACAAACTAGGAAGACTTTGTATGTACCTGGGTAAACTCACAGCAATTGTGTTTTGCAGTTGTCGTGGAGGAGACATTCTAAACGCCTTCACCATCACAAACCATGGGGTTTTTTCAGCAGAAATGCAACAGTGTTTACTTAACTCTGCTTGTTGCATTTTTCTCCTTACGTTATTTCAAGAATGTAGTCATGCTCCTGATTCTTGGCTCCCCAAAGAACTGGAGGATTAATGTGGATAGAGTTCAAAGTCAGAAGCTAGTATTATAAATATGATTCTGTCTTCATCCTCTGACTGTGCCTCCCCATACCTCCTTAATTGGACAAAAGTATAAGGGCAAGAAAAAGAGGGGAAATAACTTTAAGAGTTATTATAATAATATTGTTACAATATTAAAGTAAGATAATTTAAAAACAGCAACAACAAAAAACAACCAATATCTGCCCCACCAATGCCCCAAAGTGAAGTTTCCTAAGATGCTTTTGGCATGGAACTAGTTAAAATCCAAAAAAGAAATGTTCATGTGTAGAATGCATGATAAAGCCAGCAGCTATTCTGAAATTCTGGAGTTGACTATTTTTGAATCTAAAACATGTTACAGTACCTACACTGTGTATGGTGGACTTGCTGTTCAGTTTTATAGCACTGTCTCAACTATTCGGTGTGAATTAGCTCTTACATTCTAGTAATTCACACCTTTAAAATAATTAGAATCACTTTACCTTAGCATAACTAGCATTTCACTACAAGATAGCTTTCTGGGGCATTTTTACCATCTTTTTAGCTTTTTCAAAAGCTGTCCTGGTAGTTAGATGCTGTGCTTTCTAAGGCTGGCGGATTTTCATGTATTACTTTCACAATGTTCTTGAACATTCCCATGCTTTAGAACTACCAAGGTCTTGACACTTCAGAAATGCTTTGATTGACGCGCAGTGGCTCTTCTTATCTACTAATGCTTTTGCATAATGCAATTTTGATCTCTGACAAAATTTTAAAATAAAATTACATTATCTAATGCTAACTGAACAAAACCAGGGGTTTTAATGCAAACAAATTTATCATCTTTCTTTAGTTAATAAAATGAGTTCCTTATCTTTTTAAGCTACAACTGTTACACTTGTTAAGCTGTAGTTCTTTCTTAGTTTATGAAATTCATTCTTGCTCATGAAGTTGTGTTGAAGCAACTTGATTGCATTACTGGCATACTGATCTTTTGGCCAGTGCCACTTTTGGCTTTCTATTTGAAAGCTTTATTAAAATCATTAAAACTACTGTAAAAATGTAGTGGGTTGTGGTTCTTTGGTTTTGTTTTCTTTTCCTTGTTGACAAATGGATGTTTCAGTGATATATAATGAGAATAATTTAAACTTAGAATTGTACTCCAGGATGGTGTATTTATCTTGCTGCATGGGAATTTTATATATGATAGGAAGTGTTTGCAAGGTATTTTGCTGCCCTCTCTTGGTAGAGCATTTGTATTGTAAGCCAAGTGCTTAACTGGTTCATAGTTTTTGTTTGTATGTTTTTAAAAAATCTGGTTTTATTAATTTCTTTTGTGAAGAAATGGAAAATGAGGATTCTTTTACAAAAATAAAACATTAAATACTGAATCACTCTACTTATTTAATTATGAGTACTTTTTCATTTAGGTCCTGTGTAGGTGGAAGTAGTTATCTCACTGCCATTTATCTGCATCTGAGTAGACAGCCAACATGGTTTGATAGTGTTGGTTGCTGACTGAAACATTTTTTTGCTTCAGGTAAAGGTTAAAGTGTATAAACACTTAAGTACATTTTGTTATGACATGTGGGCATTTGTGTGTCTTTATAGCTCTCTGAAGAGGAGAAGAACCCCAGGTGAGCCGCAGGAACATTTTCACACATATGAGGAGAATTAATTAATCCCAAACAAGCAGTTTGATTTAGACTTACGCTTTAGCTAAAATTGCATGTAATTATATGCTGTATAGACAGAGTATAAATTTATATACAGTCACGTTGTCAGTGTCTCCTCCTCCCTTCTTTTATTTAGCACATACATGCACACACATGTGGACATAACCCTCTCAACAGTTAGAAACCTGTAAGTAAAAAACTAACAAAAAAGTCACCACCCTTTTGGGCCACGGCAAACACCTGGAATACTTCCCCCTGCTACTGTCCAGTCCTCTGGACATTTTTGTTTCAGCAGCTTCTTGTGCATGATGCAATTCCTGCTTTCTAAATGATCTTCCGTGTTTTTTATCTTCTGTGGACTTTTTCCTACTCTTTATTTGAATCACTCTGCAAGGAGTTGCACAGCTCATCTGCCTGATGTGCAGAGGTGCTCACTCATTTAAATTTTTTTTTTGAGCTTTGCTGTTATTAGTTGCATCAACTCTTCTTCCCAGCTGTTGTATTAGGATGTCCTCATTGCTCAGGATTTTATAGACTTCCAGCTGTCTTTTCCAGAATGCAGAATTCCAGCTTCTTTAGTTATTTTTTGAATGGAAACTGGTACATTGGATCATAGTGTTGGTGTTCTTTGAACTTTTTCAGTTCGGCTGGTTTCCCCCTTTTGAGATGAGAACAAAGATATGCAGGGTTTGTGAAGCAGGGTGATGGTATTTTCTGTAGTGCTCTGTAATCCTTTCCTAATGTGTAGCATCTGGTTTATGTTTTTGAACAGAACGTGTCAATGAATGGATGTTGCCATAGAACTTCAAGGCGAGGCTGGATGAGGCTTTGGACAGCCCACTCTGGTGGGAGGTGTCCCTGCCCATGGCAGGGGGTGGGAACTCGATGATCTTTAAGGTCCCTTCCAACCCAAACCATTCTGTGATTCTATGGTAACCCTAATATCTCACTCTTGAGTCAGCAGTAAACTCATAGTCCAGCATTTTATATATGAATTTAGAAGATTTCTCCTCTCTCCCCTGCATCATTTCAGTTATAACTCAGTTATTTCCCAGCTTTATTGCACAGTTACTTGGAATTAAAAGATCCAGCAGTAGTTCTTTGTAATCTGTCATCATCCTTGCTATGCTAAGCAATTTAAGATTAAGGAGTTTAGTCAAGAGCGCCTCACTGTTTCTTTTCCAGGTTGCTTGTGAAAATATGAAATGGCACAGCTCTCGCTATGGCTTATTGCAGAACTGCCTTGGTGACACTGCTCCTATGCGAGAACTGACCTATATTGAGGTTCTATTTATGTAAAGAAATTAAGAACTTAAGAAAAATAAAATTTAAATATCTCGCAACTGCTTTATGTGTTGTTAAACCCAGTGAATTGATACCTTATAAACATGCGTCGGTCTTTTTGGTGTACCAGACTTTTGGTGAACTTCAGAGGCTGAAAATCGAGCATTTGACAAGCTGAGTTGTAACCCTAGTTTCTTAATGACTACTAGTACAACTTTTTTATATGGGAGAGCAGGAGCTGATGGAAGAACTGATACAGGAGCAGAACTATATTTTGCAACTTCTGAGGATGTTGGGTAACAAATTCAGCAGGGATAAGTCCTTTTGCTGTATGTAACTGCAACTTAATTACTTATGTGAATTTTGAAGTGTCAGAATTTTACAGCGGTGTTTTTGTTTGCTTTCTAAAGGAAAAACATTGTTCTGAAAGAGAATGGACTTCAATAGTAACAGTGTATGAGCTGGGGTTTCCAGTTCTGCCAGTATTTTCTAAGCATGGATAGGAATGATATGGGTGAAGTTCCCTTAATTTTCAGGCTTCAGTTTTACATGGCTCTAAGCATGTAGTGTGGAATTACTAATGACCTTTCCAAATAAGATTACTCAGGGGCAGTCTGTGGAAAACACATCTCTAGTAGCTTAAGGTGTCTAAAATTTAGGTCTCCTTTTTGCTTTATAGTTAAAAGCTCCCTGTGCTTTGCATTTGGTGAGAAAGTATCTTCAGTTTGCATCTGAAGCATGGCAGAAAGAAAAAGGCTGTGTGCTTTATATACAAGTTTTTCTTTGTGAATGTCTTTTTTTTTTTTTTTTTTTTTGAAAATAAGAATCCAAATAGGGGATAACTAACAACATTTTCAGTGATACGTACTGACAGAAACATACTGGCCACAGCTTTGAGGGGGATGTGCCCAATTTTGGGTTAGTTGTATATGCATGTAGTAGTATGCAGGTAGAGAGGGACATGTATACATTTTGATGCTTCTGTAAAGTTTGGACAAATATTAGCTGACTAGTTTATCAGAAGAATGTAATTTGTTTGAGGGTGGGTTTTTTTGATGAGTATTTGTTACTGCTATTTCACTGTACTTTTATTCACTGCTTTGAGTATAAAATACTGTGCAAAGAACAGATGTAACTCCATATCCCAAACTGGGAAGATTGCATCAGTTAGTAAATTATCAGCAAAAGCTTTCTATTCTTACCTCTTGAAAGCTGTCTCTCAGAATGTTAAACTAATTAAGAGGAAATTGGATGTGTCTTTTTACTGTAAGTGTAATACAACTATTATCTAGTTCAGAAAAATAACATGTTGAATTAAGAATTTTACATAGATGCAAATACTGTGCTTTTGTTCTCACTGGTGCAAAGATTGTTGATTGGTTTATCTTCTATCCTGTAACAGTTGCTTGATATTTTTGGTTGTCACTTTGCAGCTTAGTCTTTTTCCTTTTTTCACAATCATAGACAGTTGCAAGAACAACAGAGGCAGAAGGAGCTGGAACGGGAGAGGCTGGATCGTGAACGAATGGAACGGGAGAGGCTGGAGAGAGAGAGGCTAGAAAGGGAAAGACTCGAAAGAGAGCGCCTAGAACAGGAGCAACTGGAGAGAGAACGGCAAGAAAGGGAACGGCAAGAACGCCTAGAAAGGGAGAGACAAGAGAAGGAGAGGCAGGATCGAGAAAGACTTGAACGACTTGAACGGGAAAGGCAAGAAAGAGAACGGCAAGAACAGTTGGAAAGGGAACAATTGGAATGGGAAAGAGAGAGAAGAATTACAAATGCTGGTAAGAATTCCAAAATTGAGGGTATTCAAGTACCAGACTACTCTTCATGTGTTTGAGTCATGGAGTGGGAGAGAAGCAGCAAAGGGCAGTGAGTACAGTTGTGCAACAACAGTCAATATTTCAGGCTTCTATTTGCTGGAATTGCTTCCTTTTTTATGACAAGAAGTCCAACATCTTTGACTTCCCTGTCATAATTTTCTGTTAACTCTGAAATAATTTTTTTTGCACCATTTGCTCACTCCATTGTTGTACTCTCCGATGGCTTGAAGAAATTGAACCGTGTTGGGCACCTCCAGTGCTGGTTAAAGTATGATGAGTTAAAATGTCTATATCCCTTATCATTGTTTGCTCTATTAATTACATTACATAAGTTGGGAAAAAAAAACAACAAACGTATCAAGTGGAGTGTGTTAATGTCAAAGGTACGTACCTACATAAGGCAAAGTAGTAGTGCGAGAAATGCCTTTCAGTATGAAGTCTTGCTTAATTTATCATTGTAGTAACATTTCAGTGAAATGTTTTATATGCATTTGTAGATAAGGTAATGCACTGCCTGTGGAAATTTATCCAGCAATAACTGAAAGCTTTCTCGTTTTTAGTAATATAAGGGAACGTTTGTCAAGCACTTGGTTGTTCTTTAGTAACAAACTCAATTAGCGTAAGAAGTCAGCTCATGGTAAAAGTTGAGGAATACTATGTTAGAACTAGTAATTTTAGAGTAGAGGATTTTATTGGTAGTTTTGTTCCCAGTACTTTCAAGTTGGTGATTGAGCTTTTTTTGGGGAAGAGAAAGATGTTACTTGCTGCCTATGGTTTGGGTTTTGTTAGTAGAGTTGTAACAAATGTTAAGATCACTACACTTGCTTGCAGTTTGCAACCAAACAAGAAGATGAAAGCTGATAAAAGACTCATTAATCAACCCTGTATCTAATCCATTTCACAGATGGGGTTTGAGAAAACTTGCTCTAGAATGTAGTTGTGAAATTCAAATGTTGGCACAAAAATAGTTGGTAAAATTTAAAAGAAGCTGTTGATAATATGTAAAACTTTCCTAACAGTATTTTCACTTGTGCCTAATCCTCTGGTACTAACTGTAGTCTACATTTATACATTTTGTTTGAATGCTGGTTTTGTTGCTTCATTAGCTCCCTTTTTCTCTTTCTCCTTTTTTTATCCTGCCTTTGCTGCTGCTTTCCATCTTCTGTCCAGCTCCATCTTTCGACAACTCCCCGTATAGCACTCCACTTCCTGACTACTCCAGTTGCCAGCCTCCTTCAGCACCTCCTCCATCATATGCAAAAGCAGTCTCAGCACCAGTGTCAGAGGCCACACCGGAGTACGCTGTAGTGACTTCTGCACCACCGACTTCCACTCCCCCTACACCGCCTCTAAGGCACTCTGCATCACGTTTTGCTACATCTTTAGGCTCAGCTTTCCACCCCGTTCTCCCCCATTATGCTACAGTTCCTCGTCCACTGAACAAAAGTTCTCGGCCCCCTTCTCCTGTCAATGCCCCGGCGACTTTGCCTCCAAATACAAAGCCCGTTGCCTGGTCTGCGCCCAGTTTTGCCCCCCTTCCCCCATCTCCTCCAGTGATGATAAGCAGTCCACCAGGCAAGGCTACCGGTCCGAGACCAGTCCTCCCAGTGTCAGCTTCTAATTCAGTGACCCAAATGTCCACATCTCCCACGGCTCCTAACGGGCTTCCTGAAAACCTGGCTTATCCGGCTCCTTCACCTTCTACCTCAGGTCCAACTCCGCCTCCGCCACCTCCTCCCCCCCCACTGCCTTCCTTTCCGCCTCTGTCACTCTCTGGACCTCAAGCTTCTCCTTCTCCCAACTCCCCGAATGCTTCGACTCCCTCATCCAAGCCTAGTGTTCTCCCTTCTCCCTCTGCAGCTACCCCTGCCTCTGTTGAGAACTCTCTAAACTCTGTGCTGGGAGACTCCTCTGCTTCTGAGCCAGTCTTGCAGGCAGCCTCTCAGCCGATTGAACCTCCGACCCAGCAGGGTAAGGCTTTCTGTTATTGCTACTAATGCACTAATCAGGAATGCAGTTGAAACCAATCGGTATTGAAGCCTGTAACTGCCCCGAAGAGTTAATACAATGCTTCCAAAGTTGCAGTGATCTTAATACCACAAGGAAATACACAACTTGGAAAACTGGGGTAAGGGAAACTTCAAAGCTCTGTGAAGAAGAGCTGGCGTTCTGTGGCCTGTCGTAGAAACTGCAAATTTATTAAGCTCGTGTCTGTTGAGAGCAGAGCTTGTTGAATCCTTGCTTGGTAAATCTTGCACTGTTAGTTTATTTGGAACATGGTGGTTATAGGCAGCATTGTTAGTTTCCTAATGGCAGCCAGCATGGAAGAAGGTATGTGTGGCTTTGGACATGTGAATGACCTTCAGCGAGGAGTAATCTGAACCACTTTAGCCTATGGAGTTTCCAATTCAGAAGGTAGTGTGCAGCACCTACAGCATTTCTTTCTGTACAGTGGTTATATTTTGATATATGGCTGTATGCATGTATATATATAAAGACAGATCATCATGTGGTGTTCTACCAGCGTAGCTGAAAAGACTTTAGAAAAAAAATTCGGTTAAGCAGGTGTCTCAGTGGACACTCCACCAATATGGTAGAAATGTGTTTTACCTAGATGTAAATATATTTGTTAACCTGAATCCTGCTTTCACATTGGTTTACTAGATTTAGGTCTTTGTACGTAAGTCTGCAGTAGCTCAGCTAAAGGTGTGGGCAGAGGGGCTCCTGGGGCATGAGCGGACTGTGCCTTCATCGCACACAAGCCGTGCAGAGGAGAAGCTGTGTAGACCCTCTTGCCTTAAATGAAGGTGTGAGCTACCCTGAGAAGGAGTGGAAATAGGGTGAATGGCCTCACTTGTAGTATGGAATAAAAGTATGCGCTTGGATGGTGGGCGATGCCAAGAGAGTTTAAAAGGCTTTTAAATTTACACAGTGGTTAGCAGAGTAGGAAACCAGAAAGACTCATGTGCGAAATTCCTGCCTGCAGAGGTTGCTTAAGGTTGTTGGCCGCTTTTTTGGTAGCTTATGGCAGTTTGGGTGAGGCAGGGGAGGATGTGTGGGGCTGTTTGCTTAGTCACAATTTCTTAAACTGTTCCTATAATAATAGCACAGTGATCATCAGAATATTTTTTCTTCAAAACACATTTTGTGTTGCATATCGATGTGAATTTAAAATATTAAAGGAATCATAGATAAAAAATAGAAGAGCTTGTTCTTATCAGCTTAAAATATGTCAGTCTGCTAACTCACTAATTAGTGTTTGTATTAAATTATTAAAGTTGATTCCTGGAATGTTTTTTAGAGGAAGATTTTTATACAGCTTAAAAATTAGCATTGGAACTCAAACAGTTCAAGGGTTTGGAGGTTTGCTTATTAGTACAAGGAAGAGTCACTTTGAGTTTAGCACCGTTCGAACGCACAGTATTGTTCCTATGCGGTGTGATGCCTTACTTGTCTCTTTACAAAAGTTTTGTCTGTTTCCCGGTGTAAGATTCTTCTTGGTTGCAGCACAGAACCTGACTAGAGGGGTTTTGTATGTAAGAGTCTCAGAAACCCTTTGATCTCTTATAGCATACTATGTCATATTTTTAGTGCATTTAATAAGAACGCTTCTCTCACGCTGAAACTTGTGTTCTCTTTCCTTGAAAAAGGACCCTTACCAATATTAATGTCTCATACACTGAGCAAAAGAACCGGTATTTCAATGGACATAAGATCTTTCTTTTCTAAATGCTTAATATAGTTTTTGTTTTCTCTTTTGATACTAGGTGTTGTCCAAGGACCACCTGCACCTCCTCCCCCACCCCCCCTGCCCCCTGGCCCAGCTCAGTCTTCGGTAGCAGCCCCACCTCCTCCTGGCCCACCGCCACCTCCTCCACTTCCACCGGCAGGGCCGCCGCCGCCACCACCACCACCTCCTCCACTTCCTAGCCAGGTTCCTCCCGTTCCCCTTCCACCTCCTGCACCCCCACTTCCCACCTCTGGATTTTCAGTGGGATTCGTGTCTGAAGAAAACCGCCCTTTAACTGGACTAGCAGCTGCACTTGCTGGAGCCAAACTTAGGAAAGTCTCACGGGTAAATACAACTTTTTCTTCTTTTTCTGATTCTTGTCTTCCTGAACTGGTTGTAATTTTTGTTCAAGATTAATAGCAGTATCAAGACTTTTAGGGTAGGGTTAATTAGTTATTAAAAATGCATTACAGGATGCACTATCAGCCCATCATGTTCTTTATACAGTTGTTTTTCTTGTCTGTGAACTTTGCTTCTTTCATTAAGTCGACTATCGTTTTGTTTGCACATCTACTGTTATTTTGTGTGTTACGAAGGGTGAAGACTCCTCCAGTTCAAGTGGAGGAGGAGGAGGAGGCAGCTCTGCTTCATCTAAAACAGACAGTGGCCGTGGAAATGGACCACTTCCCTTGGGAGGCAGTGGGCTGATGGAAGAGATGAGCGCCCTGCTGGCCAGGAGGTAAGGAGCTGTTCCTGGGCTCTAGCTGCTTGGTCATCATAGAGGTAGGATTTTGGGTGCCTGTTTTCAGCTGGCTAGGATCAAATAATCATCAGCTTGCTCATGTGGCTGCTTTGTGAAGTTGATAATGTTTTGTGACTAGCCATGTTTACTTGAGTTTGATTGAGTACTTTTCTTCTGTATGAGTCTCTGTGCAGCAGTAGGGGAGGGGATGCAGACTTGAAAAGAAAGATTTGCACAGTTGCTTTGGCAGGAAGGCTTTGTCCTTGAAATTATTTTGAAAGTACTTTTTTAAACACTAATTTTCAATTATCTAGCTATTAAGTTGTATATGTCTTTATACTAAAAACATTCTTCCATCTTAAAGCCATAATGATCTTGGTAACTTTTGTCTCTGCTTATAGGAGAAGAATTGCTGAAAAGGGATCAACAGAACCAGAACAGAAAGAAGATAAAAATGTGAGTTGAGACATTTTATCTTCTTCACGTTTTTCAATACTAGATTGAGAGAGATTCTAATGGTGTGCATGAAAGATTATTTATACTTTATCATGCATATATACACGTACCACTTATTCAGTGAAGTGCATACTGCTTGCACGTTGTCCACATACAATTGATCAGAACCATATAAATCTATATAAAAAGCGAAATAAATATTGGAACAGTCGAGATTAATCTGTTAGATTTGAAAGAGTCAAAGGTGGTTTTTTATCTCTTCTTCCCTTCCCTTCTTTTCCCTTTTCCCTTTTAATCAGGAGGAATTATTGTCTTCAACTTCTAAGGTTTCTTCAACAAGCACACCTGGTAAGTAGCACAGATTTGTGAACTCAGTGACTCTGTAATGCTAAAACCTAGTGTCAAATCTCAGCTGTGCTGAATTTTGGAGCCTGCCTCTACTTCCATGATTACAGCCTGGCATTTTTCTGTAGAATGGGTCCTGGTTCAGAAGTGTTTCAGAAGATGACAGATAGAAAGAACATTATTTTCCTGTACTTTAGTAGTACCTTCTTGTACCCTTAGCTTCCTTGGGCACCTCCTGCTATGTGCATACGAAAGGGGGAGGATGTTCCATATAACCTGCAGGTGGTCATCCCAAAACATATTGGAAGCAGGAGGCAGAAAGAAAATGACTGGGTAATGACTGTACCAGTCTGTAGTATGTTCTGGTGTTCTCAACTGAGTGCTTGCCCATGTGTATTCTTCTTCACTAGATGATTGACTTTGGTGGAAAGTAAATACATTATTGCTGAAAGGTATTCTAGTTATGTGAGGTTGTATTATCCTTGCTATCGCTTCACTAAAATTGACACTGAATTAATTTTATATAATTAATTAACAGCTCAGGACAACTCCTTAGCTTAAAAACATCTTCCCCCAATATTTGAATATTTGGTTATAGTTCCAGAATTCCATGTTTCACAAGTGAAGCAATAAAATACATAAAGTATAGGCAGACCTTCTCACGGTTGGATTAAGAATCAAATGGTGTTTACAATGTCTAGAACAAAAGTGAGACTTTGAGGTGCTACCACAACATAAAGGGTAGCATGACTAAAAATAAGATGAATACAACAGGAGGTAGCTTAGTATGAAAGAACTAATGCAAGGTAGTAAAAAAAAACAAACAAAACCCACCCCAAAAAGGCTGACTTAAGCTGACAGGTACTTGAAGTTTCCTCACATAAGTTACACAACAAATAGAAAAAGATGGTTTTTAATCTTCTCATTATGTTTTCCAGAACTAACAAGAAAGCCTTGGGAAAGAACAAACACAGTGAATGGAAGCAAGTCACCTGTTATCTCCAGGTACTCCCTTTTGTACCAGCTATTTTTTCCTTAATGTTTGCTGTCGTTGCTCATGCTCCTAAAAATACTGGACTATGATAACAAAAATCACCTTACTAGTGATTAACTAATTAAAAGCAAAATGTATGGGTTTAAAATTACTGCTGTGAAACTGCTTTTTTTAAATTAAGAATGAAGAGTTGCTTTTGAGAATGCTAGTAAGTGAAATTTTTGACAGTAAAGTCAAAAGTAAAACCCCAAAAGATTCCATAACAAGTGCTGGTGTACAACTTCAATTATTAAGGTGTGTGTTTGCTGACAGCAATGTTTAAGTCTGTCTATTTCTTTAAATTTTAAAGTCTAAAATTTCCTGCAAGGGAAAACTGAATTCAGTGCTGTGATTCATATATTCGATAGTAAATCTAGTGAATAGGTTTTCTCCTTTCTGTTTCTGTGCTAGTCATAGAATGGTTATCTAGATGTTTAAGCCATCTGGTAAGATTTGATACTGTGACAGATTTTAGTAGCTGTCTCATACCAAGCCAAGGAAGTCCATTCTAAAGAAGTGTGGAAATCATAAATCATAGACTGGTTTGGGTTGAAAGGGACTCTTAGAGATCATCAAGTTCCAATCCCCCTGCCGTGGGCAGGGACACCTCCCACCAGACTGGGTTGCCCAAAGCCTCATCCAGCCTGGCCTTGAACACCTCCAGGGAGGGGGCAT